TGGTGCTCTTACTGGGGCTTTCCCTGTGGACCCTGCTCTCTCATCCCTGGTGTTTTGCAGCTGAGTATACTAACAGCCATAACCACACTCAGGTGGGCTTTATCTATGAATTGAAGTATGAGTTAAAACTTCCTGAGATTTTTAATAAATAAAAATGGAGTCACTGGTAGCAGCCTACTTCCCAAAATATTCTAGAAACCTATCTCAACCTCTAGTCCTTCTGTCTGGAACATTGGGTGCGGCTCTAAATGAAATTCCCATCTATTGAAAGAGACTTGTACAAACAAAAATAAGCTCCCTAGCTGTCAGGTGACCACTGGGGACCAGGTGTGAGGGCAATGTGCTATGTGTTGGGTGCTGCAGAGGGACATGTCTCAGAATGGGACCTGTTCATCCCTGTTCTGGCACCTTCCAAAGGGCTCAAATTCAGAAGAGACAGCAGGCAGGGCCCAGAGTGCCCATTAAGATGACAGTGCAGCTGGACACAGTGGCACACACCTATAATCCCAGTGACTCAGGAGGTTGAGGCAGGAGGATCATGAGTTCAAAGCCAGCCTCAACAACTTAGTGAAGCCCTAAGGAACTCAGGGAGACCCTGTCTCAATAAAATACAAAAAATGGTCTGGGGATGTGGCTCAGGGATTAAGTGCCCTGGGTTTGATCCTCTGTACAGGGCAAGTTGGGGATGGGAGACAGTGTGTTTCAACCCTGTGTGAACTCAAGATCTATCCTCTGTTTGCATTGTATTTCCTCAAGCCATTCTAAAATTCTCATTACTATTTTATTTTAATGACATCATCTCCAATTAGGAAAAGTGTGTTTGTGTGTGTTCTTTACAAAGATTATCAGTGAAATGCTTAATGATCCAGAGAATGTACACATGGAACTTAGATGCTGACTGACAGTAATGAATGTGTCCCATGCCTGGTGATTTATTTGAATCAGGCCCTGTATCTGATGAAGAGATATGTATGTGACAATGCTTTATGGTATGCGGTTGCTCTCATTATTATTCTAATGTCC